TATTATTTTCCAGATCTTTTTGACCAATGAGTATTAGGTATTTTATATAGGCGAATGATATTTCCACACCCTTTTTTTTGATATTTCCACACCCATGCAGATCACTTTTTTTAAAAACTTTAATCCAATGTATCTTGACAACTACTTGACAAAATTCAATAAAATTTTTTTTATTAGAATTCTACTATTCATAGAATTCAAATAAAGAAAAATTCATCAAATGGATCAGGTGGTTATCGAGATACCTTCAATCAAAGTTTGAGAAAAATTTGCTGCGGCTATTATTTTGATAGACATTTAGATTTTTTTAAGCCTTTGATCGAAGGTATCTCGACGACTACCTGACCCAATTTGATGAATTTTTTTTTATTTGAATTCTACAGACTCATAGAATTCTAATAAAAAATTTTTATAGAATTTGGTCTGGTGGTTGTTGAGATACTTTTGATCAAAGTTTTTAAAAAAAATCTAAACGTCTATCAAAATAAGAGCTGCGGCAAAATTTTCTCTAACTTTGATTGAAGGTATCTCAGTAACCACTTGACCTATTTCGATAATTATTTTTTTTATTTGAATTCTATAGACTCGTAGAATTCTAATAAAAAAAATTTCATTGAATTTGGTCAGGTGGTTGTCGAGATACCTTCGATCAAAGTTTAAAAAAATCTAAACCTCTATCAAAATAATAACCGCGGCAAAATTTTTTCTAACTTTGATTGAAGCTATCTCGATAACCATCTGACCAATTTCAATGAATTTTTTTTTATTTGAATTTTACAGACTCGTGGAATTCTAATAAAAAAAAATTATCGAATTCGGTCAGGTAGTCGTCAAGATACCTTCGATTAAAGTTTTAAGAAAAGTGATCTACATGGGGGGTGTGGAAATATCAAAAAAAGGGTGTGGAAATATCAGTCGCCTTTTATATATTATTCACTGGTTAAAAAATTATATTTTAACTAAATAAGCCTCGTAATATATAGGACAAATTATGACTTAATTACTGGGCAATATCTGTATTTGCTAGTCAATATATTTAAATACATGGGCTAGGTACTGAGAAAAAGGACGAAATTGACAATTTTTTCAAAGAATATTGTTTTACATAAATCAATTTAGAATGGAATCATTTTTCACTTAAGACACAAAAGTAATTGTATTAATAAAATTTGGTGGTATAGCTCTTTAAAGTTTGCATTTTCTTATGATTTATTATAAGATTTGCAACATAAAAATTGATTTTCCGAAGATCTTTTTTTTGTCAATTTCGTTCCTTCTAGCCCATATATATTACCCAATAATTTGTCCTATATTTTACGAGGTATTATTTAGTTAAAATATAATTTTTTTTATCAGTGACTGATGGCCTAGTGCAATGTTCACGTAAACGCGAATATACAAAATTAGCAACAGATTTAATATGAGCGTTTAAAGTTGTCACAAATGTGAAAGCGTTATTTAACCGTGTCAATGATGCTGAGATGGATGATGCTGAAATTTGTAGATTCAACCAATCAGTTTTCATAAAGGGAACCATTCTGCATGTCTTTATATTTTGATAATTATTATTAATATTATTTTGAATCAAATGTATTATTTTGTTTATGATAAGGTAAATTGTTTTTGTAAAAAAAACTGAAATTTGAAAAATTTGGACCGAAGGGAATGCATAACGAAAAAATTAACTTGGTGAGACATTGGAGATAAATTAAAATAATTTATTCGTACTCATAGCTATTTACAGTAGAGGTGGAAACAACAATTATACGGCCGAAAATTTCGTTTATCAGAGTTAATGTCACTCGTAGCTGTACATGGAAGTGACATTAATTTCAATAAAAAAAACACCGAAATCGAATTTTTCATCATTACCAGTATTGTACACTTAGATAATTACTTGACTGATATATTGTATATCGATAATAAAAATCAGCAGAGATGGCATGTCACAATGTCCAATTGCTTTCAATTTTTTTGGACATATGTCTAAAAAAAAAATTGAAACCAATTGGACATTGTGACGTGCCATCCCTGAAATCAGCGTAAATAAATGCAATATTTTATTGACTTGATTGTTGAAAAAGTAATCTTTTGAAGAGTTAAGTAATCATTCAGCAGTCATGTTGATAATTAACAGTTTTTTTTTTAGGCTTTCCTTTCCTGGTTTTGCGCGATAACGTCGCGCAGCTATCTAGTTGTATTACTGGCACAAATAAGTAAATCCCATGTGTACAGTACGTCTATACATATTTGTAGTACTACAATGTACTAATTTACTAAAGGGTATATAGTAAAGTAGTACGGTACGGAAACGTAAATTAGGACGGACGTGTAGAAATTATGATAGTACGTACGGTTTGTAAAAGAAAAAAGTCGTAAACCCCAAATTACTTTCCTATAAATCCTAACATGAAAAAAGGACAATACTAGCGCTCACCCTAACCGTACGTACGATCAAAATTTGGTATAATTTTCGTATGTCCGTCCAAATTTGTACTGCCGTACAGTACTACTTTACTAAATACCTTTTACTAAATACCTAAATCGCAATGCTACACAACGTTTACGTACGTACGTACGTACAGTATCCTCAGAAAGTAGTGTATATATCAGATAGTATGTGACTTAGCAGTGAAAATCGGTCATAACTACTAAGCTGGCATATATTATATCGCATGTGGCCTGATATACAAAATGCACCACCTTGGCATGTATCATAAAAAGCAAAATATATATCACTCGAGCATAGCTTAAAAAGCAATATCACGGTTACACAAAAAGCTCATATGAAATATGCTAAAAGATACGTAGAATACAGCAACAAAGACCACCCAAGAACATATGAAAAATTGAAGAAACGCTTTTAGAGGAATATATTGTAATGATATATTGCTGAATTGGTATATCGATATTTTTTATTAATTTGCTAACGCTAAGCAATAAATTTCCATGTTTAGAAATTTTGTTTTTCGTGTAACCGTGATAAACTTTCCGAGGATTCACGCAAAGGTAATTAAATGCATCTATAATCTTGAATTAACTGTGCATATTATGTAGTCTCTTAATAGAGTTAGACATATATAGGGACACTAGAGATGCGCTGTATGTATGTAGTATTATACATACTATCAGTACGAAACTTTTGCCGATTACTTTAATACGAATATTCTGAGTGGATTAGACCAAAGACCCCTATAAACCGGGGCCCGGCACGACAGTACTGTACGTACGTACGTATGGAAAAATTCGAGTATTATATGAACCGAAAATCTTTAGTTACACCTGACAAAAATTCTTAAGAAAAACGGAATTTATAACCAATTAAGTTAATTCGGAGGAAATCAACTCCGAATGCAACATTATTTTCACGTGATTTCTTAAGGAGGATATAGAGATTTCCATAATTAGTAAGCAGATAATTAAAGTGATTTTCCTAATCTATACTGATTATGACATACAATTTAAATCAAAGAATAAATTCTTTTGTCTAAATATTCACCAAACAATACAATCAATATATGCATGGTTGAAATAACTGAAATAATTGTTAAACGTAAAAAAGTTTAAAAACTCCATAAATCCACTTGAGTTTAAATATTTTAAAAAACACTAAAAAATTAACATGAACGGAATTTCCAAAAGTGTATATATAATTTAAATGCCAAACTGTGAAAAAGGTGAGTTACATGCTTTAATCATAAATACTACTTATTCTTGGTGAATGTTTAAAATTTCTCACTGTATAGCATATTTCTTTAGTATCAAAGTTTTGAATCGTTCCGACCTCCTAATCCAACCCAATGCTAGCTGCCACAGTAACTGAACTTTACAATTATACATTTGCGCCGTTAAAAATTTCTTAATATTTCATATTAGTGGTCCAAGAAGAAACCTGTCATCAGGCTTTCAATTATATTTCATTTCGGACTTCAGGACTTGTCCTTGATAAGTCCTGAAGTCCGAAATAAAATATAATTGCAAACCTGATGACAGATTTTTCCCTTGGACATACTCATATGGGATTGGGGTCATAAACATGACAAACAAAATCCCGACAAGGTCATAATTCCAACGAGTTCGCCAACATTAACCGTAATTTCGGATTCATATATTGCATGTGATAAATGTAGGGGCATGAAAAACAAGTGTGATGGAGATTATTTCGTTTGTCGGGATTTTTTGACCCATACCCGCAAAAGGATCCATGTTTCCATGATAAATTGAAATTCGATTATTTCTCTGGAAATTGTTAGAAATTTGTTGGTGGTTTTGCTTTAGTGGTCCGTCATTTGGGAAGATTGTGGATCAAGGAACCCAATGATATATTCGTGCTCATCATAATCATTTGGTCTAAGTTATGGTTTGTGTTAGGGTTAGCAAGTAAACAAATGACGTCATTGTATAGTTTCACGTGATGTGATAATCACTGGGTTCCTCTATAAGTGTCCCCGTCATTTAACCTTTGCTGCCATTTATCAATTGGATTTATTATCCACTACCGGTCATCTTTGACTGTGTATAAGAGATGATCATAACTTCGATAATTTGAAATAAAATTTTGCAAATGACATGAAATCTAAGAATATATTAGAATTTTCCTAAGGATTGGATTAACCGAAATATAAATATACGATTTTATTTGCCAAATTTTAGTATGCTATACTTGGGAGTTGAATAGATATCGGTATAGTCAAATACCCAATGGTAAGAAAACAATTTTTTATTTATCGAAATAATATTTTCAAAAGATTACAAGATAAAACACATATATATATAATACTAAGGCATGAAAATTTAATTTTTACAAAAAACTTATTAGCTATGAAATTGTAAGAACTATAAAAGAACAAAATTCATTGATAGCTATTATACATTTTAACTTAGAAGTAATGATTATAAAATTTTGCCATATTTTAAACTTTTGTCGCATAGTAGGTGATTGGTATATCGATTTAATGTTAAACGTTTCATGCATATCGACTTTTCACGTTGTGTCTAATTCATTCTTTCATTGTTTCCATGAAAAAAACGTTGGAAGCAATCGAAGCATACCCCATTGATTTAGCTGTTAATCTCGAGATCGTAGCCTCATTTTTAACATCATAAAAATTTGCATCCATATTAATAAAGGATGATTTAGTTCCTGACCGCATCATTTCCGCCTGTCTTTCAAAATCCTTACGAACGTCGGCAGTTACATTTTTATACAATTTCTTGGCAGCGTGAGGGTTTAGCTTGTATTTGTTTTTATAAAGTATAAAACTACTCGGTGATCTTTTATTTTCATTCGGTGGTCTTTTATTTTCATTCGGTGATCTTTTTCTTTCATATGGTGTTCTTCTTTTTCTTGGTGTTTTTTTAGTTTCAATAATTTCAGGTTTAATAATTTCAGGTTCAATAATTTCAGGTTCAATAATTTCAGGTTCAATAATTTCAGGTTCAATAATTTCAGGTTCAATAATTTCAGGTTCAA